TAAAAGAGCTGTGCATACCACATCTGATTTGGTACTAACTGTCGAATCTGAACAGCTCATAGCTCACAAATGCAATGTTCATGGAACACTTGCACTTGTAATTATCACTTCCATGTATCATCTGTTTTACTGCAATAAAGCAAAGAAAGCAACGTTAGCTGACTCACTGCCTTAATTATGAACTTTGAAAGTCTATCTGTCTGCATCGTACAGAAAACCAAACAATTGATGAGTCTTACGCTTATTTTTCATAGGTTATACTTCCATTATAGCATAGCCCCTTTTTTTGCATTCTTGCCTCATTAAGCATGATCTTACAATGTCAGTTAATTTATTTCTGAGATTAAATGTCTCGTTAAATTCTGATGAGGCCTGACGCCTTCCTGGGCAAGACTAGTTGTGAAATACTTTTTGTATTAAAAGTTGTTCTAGCTTTCCTGCCCAGGTAAGTGAACGGAGCAGCCAGGAACCGTTTTCTCTAAGTAAGCTTTTTCTGCAAGATAAAATTTTCAGAAGACAAGGACAAGATTAACGTACGATGGCTTTAAATATGAGTCCTTTATTTTACTTTTCGTACTGCTTCAGGGATTTCCTTATTATTGTTTTTTTTTAATCATATACATACCACAAAACAGGAATGGTTGCCTGTTGTGGTATTCTTCTTTATCATTTTAATGATAGAGCCACTGTGTTTAGGAAAACACTGTTCTGATGAATCATCCAGAACCAACATAGAATGTATAGATCAGAGGTGTCCAATTTTGGCAGTTTTAAGACCTGTGGACATCAACTGCCAAAATTCCCCAGCAAGCCAAGGTTGGATATCTCTGGTATAGATTATAATAATACAGAAGGCAAACAAAGGCCATAAAAGAATTTTAGGGTAAATAATATCTCCTATAGTATTTTCACTTTTTATTAGTACATATATTGAAAGGAAAGTAAATGCATTCTTCCTCTCCTCTTATCTGTTTTGGACAGAGCATTGGGGTGTTTAGGAAACATTTGTGAAAAAGAAGCTATGAAAATATTGGGAATGTTTTTCTTACAGAGTCACACTGACTAAGGTATATTTCCGTATGAAGTTCCTGTTTTGATGCTGTTTGATCTTTTCACAATGTAATTCGTAGCTTCAACCGTTTTTATATCTTCTGTACGAAAGGACCTTTAGTAGTCCAATCATTAATAGTCCATCTGTCCATCATCATCATCATCATCAATCATCCTTCATCTCTCTTCATTTTATTTTGGGGTGGAGGAAGGGAAGATTTCCTTTCCTTGATTTACGACCACAATTGAGCCCAAAATTTCTGTTGCTCAGTGAAACATTTGTTAAGTAAACTTTGCCCCACTTTATGACCTTTCTTGCCACAATTGTTAAGTGAATCACTGCAGTTAAGCTAATAACATGGTTGTTAAGTGAATCTGGCTTCCCCATTGACTTTGCTCATCAGAAAGTTACAAAAGGGGATCCCTGCAACCGTCATTAATGCGAGTCTGTTGCCCAAGCACTTGAATTTTGATCATGTGATGCTGCAACGGTCACAAGTGTGAAAAATGGTCCTAAGTTTCAGTGGTGATGTAATGGTCACTCAATGAACTGTTGTATCTCAAGGACTGCCTGTATCAATTTGTTTCTTTGTTAGAGCTCCCTTTTATATATTATAGAATAGATCATTTGCAGAATTCGAATTGGATAAGAACAGTGCGGTTAGTAAAACTTCCCTGTAGTATCCTAGCAACTGTTTTGCTGTCCTGAAGACAAGTTCTTTAGCTAAAGAAAGAGTGTGAAATACACAGAACTGTCAGCCCTGCAAAGTATTAATCTTGGAATCTGAATGGGGGGGATTTAAAAGTCCTTCTGGATTAAAATTCCAATTAAATTATGTAGCTTTATTTATTTATAGTCTTTTTTTTTAGTAGCCAGCTCCCTGGTATCTATTCTTCAATTGCTATTTAATGTTCTCAGCATTTGAGCAGTGGTTTTGGAATCAGAACCAGTTGCAAGTCTTATTTTATTTATTTTATTTATTTATTTTATTTGATTCCATATTATTGTATTTTATTTTCATGTGCAGGTTCTTTTTTTTAAAAAAAAAATTGTACTTTTTTTGGGGGGGATGTCTCTGTGTATCTTCAAAATGTAGTGCTTTAGATGCAATCCCGGTCTATAATTCACACACCCAACCAATTTATTAAATCATTACATGCGCTATAAACGAGCTTGAACAATTTAGCATTTTTGATTGCCCTCCAAATCATTATTACAAACCCAGAGCAAAGCAATAGGACTTATGTGCATTTACATATACACATACACACACATACAAACACAAAAACACATACAAGCACATTCACAGGGCTCAACTCTATCACACTATTCCTGAGTAATTTAGAATGTCGCCTATTCCAAATTGTTGTCTATTCTGTGTGCCTCAGTTTTACTACAAAAACCAGTGGTTCATAATAACTGCACACAAGACAAATCTTTAGAATTTGCTTGCGTTTTGTTTCACGTTGTGCTTTTTTCCCTTCACATTTTTTTGCACATTTGAAACAGAGCTATTGACCAGTATTTGCTTAATCACCCCATAATTCACTTAGGTAAAAATTCACTTCTGTGGCAAAAAGAAGTCATCAAACGAGGCATGAATCACTTAAGAACTGCCTCACTTAGCAATAGAGGCTCAATTGTGATCGTACGTTGAGGATTATCCGTAACCTCAACATTGTTCTGGAAAGTATCCAGCATCGTAGAACTTACACATCGTAGAAATTGCTAAGACAATCTGTGGGAAGAAAATGTTCTTCCTTTTGCCTCTTTTTTCTCTGTAGGCAATTTTTACAGCCCGAATGCTGAAGAGTCTAGCAAATTACTTGTCTCGGCAACGAAATGAGTCTTATGACCTTTCCCGCATTCCAGACACTCGCCAGGATGAATTGTTCCCTAAGTAATAATCTGTTTAAAAGCTGGTTTTGAATTATTTGTGCTTATGTGACGTGATGAAAAGAAAATTACTCTGCGACAGAAATCTTTATCCTGTCTTTCATCATCATCCACCATGGATGGTCATTCAAGCCATTTGTGTTTGTGTGTGTTTGGAAATGAATTAGTGAATCTGGATTGCTTTTGGGCGAGCACAAATATAATCCTGGAATTTGAAAAACAATCTCCTATTTCTGGCTAGCGGTGTGACTGCTCATGTACTGGGTTTAGCCTTTTGCGTTCGATCTGCTTTTCTGCCCTTTAAGACAGTGCCAGTTACACGCCAAATAGTCCCTCAAACAACTTGCTACCACAGTTTTTTTTTAAATTATGTTGTGTGCTTGAAGGAAAAAGCATTCGCTTTTATTTGTCCTAAATTTACTGCCCGAAAATCTGTTGCAGGCCCCAGAGTTTTAATATGCTGGTTGAATGCAAGAATAATTAATGTCTCTGTCAGTCTTTCTAATGGCTTCTAGCACATTAGGAAGGTTGGTCAAATCCATTCTCACAATTGTCATATTCTCAACTCAAGAATTGCAGCTTAAGCTTAAGCTTCACCAGAGGTTCTTCACAAAGTGGCATTTCCAATGAGCATGGACTATAATCTTAAAGAGCCGTGGTTAGTAAAGGCATATTATGGTATATCACAATGGCTTTGCCTTTGCTTGGACCACTCGTAGCTTTCAGGATCTCCAGTTTTTTGGACGCTCATTCTTTCATTCATTCATTCATTCATTCATTCATATTTTTTTTCTCTGCTGACTTCTCTTCTGTTAATATTGGCAATGGAAGACTCGGGATGCAGCCACTGATTTCATTTGCCCACGAATATATATAATCTCCACTTTTACAGCCATGATTTTTTTTTACCTGGAATTAATCATCAGGAGCTAGAAGAAGCAGAAATAGCTTATTTATTGTAATAGCACTTTTGTTACTTGGATACAAATGTACACATGGTGAAATTTATAACACACAAAGTAAGCAATCACTTTGTTTTTCCTGTTCAGTTCTACACAGAAATGATGATGGGGGGGGGGACACTAATTTTTCTTTCCATGCTCTCAGTTTCTTTCATCTGTAATGCAGATGGAGTATGCTTTTGTCTAAACCACAAATTTGTTTGTTTGTTTTGCTTTGTTTCAGCAATTACCGCCACCATCTTGCTATTTACAAAATGCCTTAAGCTCATTTCAAAAACAGGGTATATATTTTAACATTCACACACACACACACACACACAGAAACAAAACCCCTCCCATCCCTTTGAACATCTTTCTGTTCTCTTCATAATATTACTCTGCAGAGCTAATGAAACTATCCTAGAATAATTTAAGAGAATAGATCAGATACTCCACGGTGAACAAAATAATATTAATTGATTAACTTTTAATATTAATCTGAACAATGTAACTGCTGCTTGGCAATTAATTACAAAAATTAATTACAAAGGTGATGTGTTACACTGTTCCTGTGCCTTTGCTCAGCACTATTTGGAACATCAATAATTTGCATCATCCCATTAAATTAAAGTTGTTTGAAGCATCAGTAAAAAGTTTCAGCATACAGGTTTCTACAGATCTAGTCATTTCATGACTAAAAAGAAAGAGAGAAAAAGATGTATTCTGCCGATTTTCTTTAAATCACCAACTATATATATTGCTAAGATGGAATCTCTTTGAAACTGGGTTTCTGTTTAATCTACAAATTAGATTCAAAGGAATGAAATATTAGCATTTCTATCAATAAATTTGAATAGAATTAGATCAGTTTGAACTAATGGAAGAATAAAATAGTGACATTCTCACATTAAGCATTATGATTTCATATATTATATTATATATTTCCCTTTATTTTATGAATAGTAGAACTTTTATGAGCCGTAATTCAGAAAAATGAGGGCACATATTAATGGAATTATCTTCACTGCCTTCACGAATATTACTTCTGACATAGCTTTTTTTCCCCCTCGTAAGTCCTGATCTGGTTTCTGAATTACCATATTTTCTCTCAGTTTCAGCTCAAAGTCTTAAAAGCAATCTTGATTCCATGGGACACCAGATACAGCGTTTGGAAAATGACATCAAGAAATTCCCCAAAATAGAAGATCCTTATGATAAATTCGTTGAAAAAATGATCATATCCTTTGCAAGTTATTGCTTGTTTGCTAGTCAAATATGTGAATTATGTCCTGCTTATAATGTTAAGTTATATAACATAGAATAACTTTTGAATGAAAGGACGGTCTGCTTGATTAGAAAGTTGTTTTTGTTTATGTTACAAAGGAATATCTACTTTCTCTCTCTCATTATTTTAGATAGACTACCGAATATATGAATTGAGGTTTGCCTTGATTCATTCCTTGCCCTAATCAAAATCATGATGTTTCAGTCATTTCCTCACTAGGGTACCTGAGTGTGTGCTGGACAGTAGCTACTCATTTGGCTACTTGTGGAAATTTCGGATGAAGCTTAGAACATCTGTGTCCTTTGTCAGTTCTGAAATAAGGTAAGAAATCCCTGCTTCATTAAAAATGCACTATTTGGGGGGATAAGCCATGAAATGGCCAGATTTGCTGACAGTACCAAATTGTTTAGGATGGATAGGCAAACAGACATATGAAAAACAACAAATGGATTTCTCCAACTGAGAAATGACTTGTCAGACTACGCACAATGAAACAATCTAGCCAAACTCAGTTCTTTATCTGTTTACACACAATAGACAGAATCTTGCTGGACTAAACACTAAAACTGTCTCCCTAACAGATATATCTGAGAGACTCTAGCACAGGGGTGTCCAAACTTGGCAACTTTAAGACTTGTGGACTTCAACTCCCAGCATTCTCCAGCCAGCATGGGTTCAGTAGTTCTTGTTTTATTGATTTTTTGTGTGGTTAGTTTTTTTCCCCATTCATGTTTTTGTGTATGCTGAAGAGATTTGAGGTGTAGGTGACTGAACACGAAAAAGATTGCTTAAGTGGTGATGGATACCTTAATGGAAGTTCTGTTGCTTTAACTTACTTATGTCCTGCAATCTTGATTAGGCAAATGTTTTGATATGCATGTGATTGTATTAATGTGCAACAGTGTGTACAGGCATATATGTTTTTATATTATATCTCTGTCTAGGAAGGATGATACGTGGTAAGTTAAAAACAGAAAAAATGGTGGCTGTAGTATCATTATCTTTCAAATGCTCTCTACTACCCCTACTTATTGAAATCATTATTATATTTAATATTACTCTGTTGCTTTGCATGTTAACTGAGAATTTCTGCACTGGAGACAAATTCCTTGTGTGTCTAATCATACTTGGCCCATATTCTATTCTATTCTATTCTATTCTATTCTATTCTATTCTATTCTACTCTACTCTACTCTACTCTACTCTACTCTACTCTACTCTACACAAAGATTCATATGTGCGAATTATATATTCTTAAAAAAAAAATCTTGAGAGTTAAATAGAACCTCCACTCTTAGACCCATTTCTGACTGCCAGGTGTTAAACAACCAGAATTGTGTCTATTGGTGAGCATCCTATTTATATATGATTGCAGCTCTTTTCTTTCTTACTTCCCCATGTAGTTAACAAAGAGGAGAATGTAGGGAATATTTTTATTGGGCCCAGTAACGACACCAAAGAGTTGAGAAGCTTTTTAGTTCTGCAGCATTTTTTCATTAAGCAAAAGGGAAACAAAACTAAAAGAAAAAAAAAGTTGCAGACAAACACAAAACGAACAGGCCCTGAGGTTTTGCAGTTTAGAGTCAGTTTGAAGAAGATAATTATAGATTGAATTAATTAATTGCTAGCAGCTATTGCAGGTATCAGATTACCTATCATTCTGGAATAAAAAGTAATGACTAACAGACATAAACATACATTCCAAAAAAAACCATAAAGGGAGCCTCAAACCTATCTTCTGCAAAATATATCTCACCGTATTTGACTGTTATCTTTTGTTCTCAGGATTATAGTAGCTGCAACAGTTTTAGCTTATTCTTCCTTTAAGTTAGGGAGCATCATAGAAAGAAATGGTTCACAGGATGTAATTTTTAACTTCACTGATTCTTTGTTGACATCTGGGACAATTCAAAATATTTTCTATTTAATTCTGTAACTGTAATATGCAAGTTCGTTCCAGTCCTGGGCATTGACATTCAAACATAGTTTGCCATAGTAGTTGATGTTTTTTTTTCCCCTCTGCTTTCAGTAATTGAGAAAACTCATCCTTTAATAAGTCTTTTGCTAAAATAATCTGATCTAGCTCTAATAGTTTAGGAAAACAAAGGCAATTTCAAAAACTTGACACTGACTTTTCTATTGCGTTTCATTGTCTGTAGATAATTGAGGCATTTTAAAAGAAAAATCTCACATCCGTCCGTTACAGACGATTGGTTGATCTTAATTGTGACTGTCTATCTCAGGGGTGTCAAACTCTCAACATCATGTGACGTGTTGTGACGTATTGTGACTTTTTTTCCATTGCCGGCAATGAGGTGGGCGCGGTTTCACCATGACGCATCTGGCCCGCAGGCCGGCAGTTTGACACCCCTGGTCTACCTTGTGTCAATGGCGAGCAACATTTTCTTTTACTTGTGTCTATCTTTTTAAAGGAAAGATAGAGGATCTCAGGGTTATCACCAACTAAGAGTGAAATGATTTAAAGTGACAAAACTATAAACATCTTCTAGGAAATAAGCTCCGTTGAAATTGATCGGGTTTGTTTATGAGTATCACCTTCATGGCTTGTTGTTTAATTTCCTAAGAAGTTGCTAAACATAACAGCTAGATCTAATCAAAATAGTACCTTGTTGCCATAGCAACAAATCAGCTATCTGGCTCACAAGCAGGAAGGGTCACAAAAGTGTTCTACTTGTGTTCCTCAACAGCTGATCCAAGAGGCCTTTTGCTTCTGATACTGAACACACAACCTGCGCTTGAGATCTTATCTCCCATATACTTGTTTAATCTCCTTTTTCAAGCTGTTCACTCTGAGGACCAAGACGGTATCTCCTGGTAGCAGATTCCGTAATATTTCCTTTCCTCTCTCTTCAATCTCCTCCTCCTTATCTTCATTAGAGGACTCCAAGTTTTAATATCTCCTATCATTTCTACAAGTCTGTATATCTATCATGTCCCAACTTGCTCACCAATAAAATTCCCATGTTTGTTGACATAGAGTTGGACTTTTCTATACCTCTCCCAACTCAAAAATATCATATTTTTTTTGAGGTTGTCCAAGTTTGCAGACACTATTGAAATGTGGTGGTGACATATTCTTGACTAGCTGTGATTATAACACTGTTAGATTTGAGTATTTCAGTTATAGTACTATAACTGAATTATCGTCCTTTTTTCCCCTTGATCAGACATGTTTTGCTTTTTGTGTTTCGAAACAGTGATCTACCAGTGAGGTAATTATCTTTGACTTTTAGCTCATTTCCTCTCATTATTCTATTAGCAGAGAAGAGCTGGCATTGTAACTTATCAGTTGCATAGAAAGTCAAATATTTTGTGATTCCTACATAATTTTGCAATTAGTGATAAGAAAACATGTGGCATAAATGGTGCAAATTAGTATAGAAAGCCAAAGCACTTCAATAAAACGAGTACGCTGTTTCTGATTGTACTAATTTAACTGTTCTCTGGCTCCTGTAATTGGTAAGATTATATATTTTTGGATAATAACATTAGTATCTTAATGAAGGAACAAAAACATTTGATATCTAATTGAAAGTACAAACTGTTAGATTATTTTTTAACAAAATGGATGATGATAGAGGGGAAAAATGGTTTCTAATAATCTAAAACGGGTCTCCAACCCCTGGTTCGTGGACCGGCACCGGGCTGCAGCATACCAGAAACCGGTCCACACAAACAGGCAAAAGCCCCACCCGCGGGATGCAGGCACGCCCCTCCCTCCGGTCCGCAGAAAAACATCTCTCCATGGAACCGGTCCCTAGTGCTCAAAAGGTTGGGGGCCTCTGATCTAAAAAAGCAACAGATGCCTTGCCTAATATAGAGAAATATAGAAATCTAAAGGTTAATCGAAAGAAGAAAATGAATTTCTCTCTGGAACAGGGGTGTCAAACTGCCGGCCCACGGGCCGGACGCATCATCCGGAAGCCGCGCCCACTCCATTGCCAGCAATGGCAAAACCATCCCAATACGTTGTGCGATGTCATGTGACGTCGCGGGTTTGACATGTCTGCTCTTGAAACTTTCTCTACTGACATAGTGGGAAATAATGAAATATGGATATGTTTACTTTGTCACTTCCGCCGTACTTAATACTTTCCATTTGTTTATGATGTAAACATTATTTAACCCGTAGAAATGAAAAACTACTTAGAGTTAATTCATGAGTGAATTCACATTATCTGCTAAGTCGCATCAGATTTAAAAACATCAAGGAGCATTACTGAACAATGCAAAATCCTAGGCAATAATACATGCTAAAATTATGTTATCAGCTATGAGAAATTATGGTGACCGAATTTCCATTTCTTACTGTCATCATGCACCTTTTTTTTTTGGTTAATCCTACAAATATATACATGTTTTGTAAGCTGTTTTAAACAGCAAGCAGAAAAGGGGCTCAAGATGTTTTGGGATACTTCTTTTCCTACAGGGGTAGGCAACCTTGGCTCTTTTATGACTCGTGGACTTCAACTCCCAGAATTCCTGAGCCAGCTATGTTATCCAGCCATAGCTTTGTGAAGCAGGCGAATCTAAGCTACAGTGATTAGCTCAAACTCATCCAGTGAGCTCCTTAATTGAGTGGTGAATTAAACCTGGATCACCACAGATCAACGCTCCGGTTTATTTGTCTCTTTATCCCTTTCGCTCACTTTGGGGAAGACATTAGCTGTGAAAATGCTCAGGTTTTGATGTTAGCAATCATGCCAAGGCATAACCCCTCCTCTGTCTGCCAGGGAAAATGTGCTGAACAAAAATGTGCATCTCAGAATAGCTTAACTGAATTATTCCTCCGTCAGGAGCTTTCAGGAAATCCCAGGTGCTGATAGCTGATGCAGTGTAAATGTCATTAACGTTCTGTCAATGTTCTTTTTCCGTGTGCTAATGATGCCCTGCTGATCGGGCTTGGAGAGGCTTCTTGGACTCAAAACCTT